GCAGTCCTCCCTTCAAGGGAGCCTTTGGTGTGAAGAGATTCATGTTCCACTTCCGCAGGCGGTTGCCACGTAATAGAGGTGATGAGCCAGTAGGTGTTGGGAATGCTGAACCTCCCATATCAAATTTCATGAACTCAATTGAACAGCCAGGTCCTGTCTTGATGTTGTAGCCACCACTACAATTATATAAGACAAATATTTAGTAAACTATGCACATCTAGAGAGGGCAGAAGCAGAAATTAAGAACACCTATTGGAAAGGGAGAGATATCTTATGGTTATTATAATCTTACAATTCATGATTAGATTCATACAATTTGATACAAGTTTCAACCAAAACAATTCAATTCACGCTGTTGAATCTTAAATTGAGTGAATCTTATAGTTCAATTGTGATTCACTATGATTTAGTTTTGTTTAAATAATGCATGAAATGGCGTTTTTTTTCAAAATAGAAAGGAGAACAATTAATTATATCGATATACATGGTTTTATATGTAAATATATACATATATACAACTTAGTTATATTGATATTTATTTCATTTTTACACACTATTTTAAATCAATTCACAATTCAATTTGTGATTTGACAACGAGGCAATAAAGAACCACAAGTGAATAAACATTCCATAATTTGTATATAAGGTTCACTCCACATTCTGATTCTAAGGAGAACCTTGCTCTCTTTGCTGAACAAATGGATCAAACTAGGAATTTATCTTAATTTAGAAAATATATAAATCACCTGTCAAAAGTCAACCCTTTTCCCACCAAAGCTAACTTGGCTTTAACAGGCCCACTTGATGGCTTGTAACATAAATGGATGAAATGAGGAGGATTTGCGGAAGCGGCAGCTACACCAAGGTAGGAACCCATTTTCAGTTCTTTGCACTGGTCTACATTCAAAATTGTTGCAGAAAGAACATCGCTGTACATGGAGGCAATTTTTGAAGCCTCTTCAGCTAATACCCCTGAGAAATAAGAGTTATCCAAATATAACAAGGGTTATCTTACTCTGCAGCAAACATTAACAAAAACAATAAAGGAAGAACAGAAAATTAAGGCCCTCTAAGATACCAACATAGAGATGAAAGGTAACATAGAGAACTATGTTACATGGACTCAGGTACAAGAATCGAGAGTATTGGGTGCGGGTGCAGGTGCAGGTGCATGTCCAAGCGTCAGACCTTTATAATCCTAAATATTAGAATATTGAGATATGTATCCAAAAGTTGGATATGGGGGTTGATACAGAGACACATCATGGACACATATATTGCACAAAACAAATCGTATAATATTCTTAGATATGATGTTGAAAATTACGTAGAAATATTCTTGAAATTAAATATGATTTAGGAAAAATACGAAATTTCTATCTCTCATCCATGTGAGATGCTAGAAATATTTCTTAACTAGCAAATGTGGGTTTCTTCATCTTAAAACGTCGTAAAAAAATAGAGGATCCAAGTGTCTAGATTGTGTCCGTCGGACACATTACTCATACCCTTATCCTTGTCATATCCGATGTAGACTAGTTTTGGGGGAGAAATAGAAGAGTATATGTAACATGCATTTCAGGTGTAATATAAAGGGGCATTCAAGATTAAAGTTGAAAAGTAAAAAGCCGAAAAAAGAACAAGTCAATTATAAGGATGAATACAAACCAGGGGTGAGTACATTGGCGGGTGAATTTACCAGCTCTTTCCCAAAAATAATTGCAGAGCAAACATCTTCTGCGTATTTAAGCTTCTTTTCTAGCTCAGGTCCAGTTCCAAGACCAAGAATATCCACAGATTTGAGAGCTGAAGGCGGTTTCTTTGACTCTGACTTAAACCTAATATCCTCATAGGTCCCCAGCACAGTTCCTGCAACATGCAAGCCATACCACCAAATTCACCACCAATGTAAGCATCTCTAGTCCTTGCTCATTTTGTTTGTTTGTTTGTTTCTTCTTCTTTTTTTTTTTTTTTTTTCCCATCAAATCCGAGTGAAAAATTGGTCAAAAGCTTGTTTTGGTGAGGAACAGATCAATCCTTACTCTCTATTTCTCACCAAATCTTTTTTAAAAATTCCAAACTTATCCTAAAGATCAGTTTTAACCATTTCTTATGAAAGAAAATCATCTCCAATCCTTAATTTTTTTTAATAAAAAAATTTGTAAAAATTAAAAAAAGAAAAAAAAGAAATCAAATTTGAGTAAAAATATGATTGTCAAAAATTTGGTGAAGGATTTGGTCCAACCTTAATTGGTGAAAATTTTGCCTCTCCCTTGAATTGATACAAGTTTGATGAAATGATTGGAGCTCACTTTTAGCTCTTTATTTATCAATTTTGAATTGATGAAAGAAATGGTAACTCCTTTTTTTCATCAAATTTGAGTGAAATTTTGGTTAAAGGCCAGTTCTGAATCTGACATGGAACCCTCCAATACTAAATCTTTCTTTTTTTTTTCTTATATATAAGATCTTTTTGAAAATTTCCTAACATATCCTAAAAACTTGTTTTAACCATATTTTATGAAAATAAAATCATCTCCAATCCTTTTATCTCTTTTTTAATTGGGCGAATTACACTAACGGTCCGTGTAGTTTAGGACTTGTGTCACTTTGGTCCCTAACCTTTCAATTATAAGGTATTTGACTCTAAATTTTGAATCTCATTCTAAATAAAGATAATTGAAGACACCGTTGCTCCATTTCAAAGGCAAAGGCATCAATTTTATAAAATATAAACTAATTTGATAAAAATAAATGTCAAAAAATTATTTTTGAATTTTTAAAAATTATTTCTATCCACCAAAGATAAAGTCATATAAAAATGATAAATCTTTTACATTTTTATTTTTTTATTTTTTTACCATATCAATTTTTAGTATGTGTTTGGATGATGATCATGTAAGAGGTGGTTATTTTTGTTAATATTTTTGGATAGTTATCATGTAATAGATGGTTGTATTTGTTGTTAACAGATATTTTTAGACGGTTATCACGTAATAGCTGGTTATCATTTAATGGATGGTTATTAGGCTTTTAATGTGTAATCGATATGTTTAATGTATGAAATGTTTTTAGTTTTGGATTTTTTGATTTAATGGATTAGTTTGATATTGACATCATAGTTGTCACATATTTGACTTTAAAAAAAAATAGAAACTAATTTAACGAAAATAAAAAAATTTAAAAAAAAATTAAATTATTTCTACCCTCCCAAAAGACAAAATTATATAAAAATGATGTGGTTTTAATTTTTTTTTCCCACCAATTTAATTTTTAGTTTCTTAGAAAAGTTCTCAGAAAATAGATTATGAAAACCAAATCAAGCATAACTTTATAACCAATAAAGTTTCAACATTATTCATTAGAAAAGGGTGATTACATTTCAAACAACATACAAGTTAATTAATACAAAATAAGTTGTATGATAACTTTGCCCTTGAAATAGACCGTTTGCAAAGGAAACATCTTTAATTATCCTTATTTGGAACTAGATTCAAAATTCATGGTCAAATGTATCATAATTGAAAAGTCGTGAACAAAAGTGACACAAGTCCCAAACTATAGGCATGGTTAGTGTAATTCGCCTTTTTTAATTTAAGTAAAAATAATACTGTTGAAAATTTAGTGAAGGATTTGGGGAAAAATTGCCTCTCCCTTCTTTTAATGAAATGGTTGCAGTACACTTTTAGCCATTGTTGGAGCACAAACAAAACAAAAATGAAAAGAAAAAAAAAAATACCAGATGCTATTGCTGAAGCAGTATTAAGTTTTGATTCAGCAGAGAGCCCCTCAGGAGAGGCAAGCACAATGGCCACATTACTTGCCCGAGCAGCCTTTGCTGCTGCAGCAACAGCCTCACCAAGACTACGATAAGCCAATGTAGTTGAAGCGGATTGTCCGAGCCCAATTAACCCAACCCTTTTCGAGCCAAGACCCGCAAGCCTAAGAACAGTTGACTGCCCAGCTTTTCCGGTGAAATCCTCCTCCAACGAAGCTTCAGCCAACAAACCACCCAAATGGGAATCCAGTTTCTTCAGGATTGAGTTCTGGAATTTCAAGTTTCCATCTTTGACCATGTCTTTCTCTGTAACACCAACTGCTAGTATATCTCCTTTCCATTCCACCAAATCAATCAATTTCGCAGAGAAAGAGATCTTTCAGAGTTTTCACAAGCACAAAAACAAACATTTAGTATTCCATTTACCCACATAATCTAGTTCAAAAACAACATCAATTGAAAGACATAAATCTATATATATATATAGCAGCTTTGTGACATGTATAAGGAAAAGGGGAAAAAATAGTGGGTTCATAGAGGAAGACCCATAAACAAATATCAATTAAACAAACAATAATCAGTTCAAATGATGAAACTTAGGGCTTCTCCAATCCTTACCCAAATGTTGACTTAAACTTAAATTTGAGTTTAAAAAATAAACACACACACACACACACAAACCCTTCTCCCATTTCTTGACTCAAACTCAAACTCATACCGTATTGATTTTTACTCAAATTTTTACCCAAATGAAAAGAGACTCAAATCTTGAGTCAAATGTCCAAAGGCTATATTTGCTTCATTTTTTATTAAATTGCCATTCTTGCTACTAAGAATTTGACAAAAAAAAAATTTGTTGTTTGCCATTGGAATGGTTCACATCAAATGAAGCTTTTACTCAGATTTGTGTAAAAATCTGAGTCATGATTGTAGATAGCCTTACGAGTTATGTTACTAACACAAATATCAAGACTGGGTTAGTAAGAGAGTGAATTTTTTCCTATTTAAACATCAAGCATTAATAAGACTAACAGCTAAAACCAATCAATCACAATGATAAAAGTTCAAAAATTTCAAAGACATTAGACACATTGGTACATAAAATAAATACCCAGAAACAGAAGTCAATTATCTATGGATTTTAGCCCAAGAGAATGAACAAGATTTAGAGAGAGAGAGAGAGAGAGAGAGAGAGAGAGGGGGGGACCTTGGGGGGTTCGATTTGAGCAGGGTGAGTGAGGCCGAGAGTGGCACGAGCGAGAGAATGAGCCATGCGATTTCCCCTGAGAGAACACAGGGGTTTGACTGCAAAAGAGAGACACAGAAAAGGGGTCGATCGCAATTTCCTGAAAAGGAAGGAAGAAGAAGAAGAAGAAGACGATGATAAAGTCGTAAAAAGCGTAGAAGCCAAAGACACTTCGATAGCGGCCATTTTAACATGTTACGAGTCTCTACCTCTTTATTGTTCAAATATAAATTTTTTAATAAAAATTAATTATTGACATATAAATTATTAGAAAGAATGTATATTAGAAATTCATGTTTGTTTAAAAGTTTATATTTTTTGGGAGCAGTTTAAAAGTTCATATTAGAAAACTTTTTACGTTAGGAGTAGAGTTTTGTGACGTTCCCTCTGTTTCCTACATAGATTTTTAGTTTTTCTCCAGTAATTTTTTTTTGTTGTTGTAAGTTTCTTGAACTTCAGTCTTCTGATGCATCGCTAGCAGCGGTGGAGTTCGAGCAGCGACGGCATTGGATGACGTCTTTGATGACAGCGAGGGTACGATTTTGTGCTTGAGACAGACCTTTAATCAATTGGTTTGAGTCCAAACCATATCTGCAAGCATATTTGTGATCTTCTCAAATCGTGACTATTTTTTGAAACTTTTTATAGTTTGTAATAGGTTTTTTTCTTTTGTTGTTCTTGTACTCTATTTTTTTTAATATATTGCCTGTTATTATTAGGGGTGTAATTTGGGCAGGTTCAACTCGAGCAATTCAAGCTCAGCCTGAGTTTTTTTAGGATTTGGACAATTATATCTTGTAATCTGGAAGGGCCTGGGTAGATTTTTGAGGGCTTGGGCAGAATCAATGGCCAACCTGAGCAACCCGAACCCGAATTGAATTTAATATATTATATAAATTATATAATATATATAAATTAAATAAAAGAGTTATTCTTAATTTTTATTTTTGGTTAGTCTTTCACCGTTGGATTAACATCTTTTATGTGTACCCTTAGATTAAATCTAAACAAAACCCTACCTACCTTATCTCTCTCTCAGACTCATCTCATTTTTTGTTCAGGAGAGGTGTTTTGAAGAACAGCGGAGGTAAATCTCCATAGATGCCTTCACCCCATCCATCTTCGCATTCTCCGGCAGCCTAAACCGCCACACGAACTTCCCACTACTGCGCTCCACACGGTGCCAAGTATCGTTCTTCTCCTTCTCAACCTTCCTCTCTCCGCTAATCTGCAAAACCCTATCGTCCCCGATCTCCACCTTCACTTCCTCCTTCTTCAGCCCTGGTAGATTCGCTTTAGGTAAGCTTCCTCCTTCTTTGTTCTTGCATCAGGAATATGTAACTGACTTATATATATAATCTGGGTGGTAGTTTTGATCTTTGTTTCTTATCGATGCATGTACTACCATTGTTGTTGTTGTTTTTGACATTTGGTTTGGTTGATGATGTTTGTGGCGATTAAAAAATGGATGAGAAGGGAGGGAAATTGATGATGTTGATGCCACTGTTTTTGGGCTTTGAGAATGATGAAAGTGATTTTGGCTTTTGGGTAGTGTTGAGAGGCATGGGTTTCAGGTAGATGTATATAATATATACATAAGTTAGATTTTAAATATTGGATTTAGGGACTGGACACCATGGTAGGTGAGCATGGGACTCAATTGTCTGGTGGACAGAACCAGAGAGTTGCCATAGCCAGAGCAATACTAAAAGACATACGAATTCTACTCCTATAGATAAAGCAACAAGTGCACCTTTCAGTTTCATTTGGTCTACCTATAGGTTTCTAGACTTGTGAATTTCGGACGATTCGGACAGTTCGGGCTAACTCGAGTTCAAAATACAAAGCTTGGTCCGGGCTTGGGCAGCAATGCTCGGGTTGATGGCCAGGCTTGAGCACTGCCAAATACAATTCGGACTAGGCTTGGGCAAACCCCCAACCCGACCGAACCCGCCCGAGTTGCACCCTTAATTTTTATGCTTCTAAAAAAATTATATTTGAATATTTGATTTTGTTAAAAAATTTATATATGAATATTTAATTTTCAATTTTTTTGTGCTATACCAATAAAATTTTCTCAATTAGAGAGAAACAGAAAATTATTAAGTGAGGATTGTTATTATACTAACATTATTTGTGTAACAAATTTTTTTTTATAAATATAAATTAATGTGTTTCATTTGGGTAATTTTACATAGTAGTTATTTATTTAGATATAAGCAATTGAACATAATGCGCCAGTTGTTTTCAGAGATAAGTTGGGTTGAATTGTTAGTGTGAGGAGATTGTTAATATAAGGATTGTTAGTGAGAGAATAAAAAAAATTGTATTTGTTTATGATATATTTTAGTGAAGAAATTAACTATATGAAATACCATAAACACCCTTTGGTGTTTTTTATATATTTTAATATTAAAAATTATATTTGTGTACTATATTATTTTATGTTGATATTTTTTTTAGTATAAATAGATTATTATACTATTTTATTTTAATATTAAAAATTACTTTATATTAAATTAATTTTATAAAATGAGAGACAAAATAGCATTTTTACTTCCAATCCCATGGGATTAGATATCAATACCACCTCTCATATGGGATTGCTAGTCCCTCCTTCGATGTCACGACCCACTCCCCGTACCTAAAGGTTAAGTATCGTGATGGCCAGTAACTGAAATTACCTCCGGTCAATTCTTGAACAAATTAATAAACGTGAGCGAAAATAATATTTAAGTGAGGGTACCAAAATAATCATAACCACGATATCGAACAGAACAGAGGTCACGAGAGTGACAATCAGAATAAAGGTACAGATTCAATAGGTGGCTCATACGAATTATAGAGGTGGCTCCTATAATAGTGTAGCACTTATCTCCGCATAGCACTTTGCTCCGCACAGAACAGAGTTTAATAGATCTATGGTAATAGAGGGCCACAAAATGACCAAACAAAGGCCAATGGTTATTTGCAGTCCCGCCTGGCCACCAAATGACCAAACAAAAGTCAATAGTTATTTCAGTCCCCCAAGGCGTGGGACTCCCGTGGTAGTACTTACAAAACATAATTGTTTATACGATCATAGTCAAATATTTTTTAAAATATAAACAAACATATTTATAGGTTTCATTTTAAACAAATACAGTTCAGAAATTAATCCACGTAACTAAAATATTAATATAGTTTATAATAATTTATAAAACATAACTTGTATAAAATAAATATGGTAAGTCAAAACATACGTAAAATATATTATGGTAACTCAAAATATAATATAACTCACCTTAACTTTAATACCTCACTCTTTCTTTCCACTATCAAAAAAAACTTTCAACTACTATTATTTTTTTCTTCCTTTCCTACCCTTTTCTTTTCCTTTCTTTCTCTCCTTTTTCTTTCCCAAATTGAGCAACTTCTCCCTATTTATACAGAGGTGAGACCACCCATCAGCCAACACGTGGCCGATTCAAATCCTCACAGATTGTTTCTGATCCGCCCATAGATTTATAGTTATCTTAAGAAATAATTAAAATAATTATACTTTGACCCAGATTCTTAATATAATTATATAAATAAATTAATCTCTAATTAAATTATACTTTATTGTATACCCACAGAAAATTAATTACTTATTTTACTATCACACCCACTATTATTATTATTATTATTATTATTTATTTACTTTTACTTTTATATTTATTTATTTACTATCTTTAATTTTAATTTAGTCCAACTAGTATTATAATTCCATATTTCTGTTAATTTGGTCTCAAACAATAATCCCTAATTTAATTACACTTTATCTCATACACCCGTAACATTTAATATTTTATTTTACTCTTACGGAATATTTAATTAAACGTTTAGGGTTTTTCTCATTTATAATTAAATAATACTAATATATACTATCTATACTATATATTAAGTAAAAGGGAGTTTTTAACCCCAAGGCCTTGTGGGAACTCCAATCATCTAATCCTAATTTTTTAATTTTTTAATTTTAAAAAAAAAACCTCAGTATTTATTGACTTCTTCTAACCCAACCTCAGCATTTATTGACTTCTCCCAACCCACAATCCTTTTGACTTCTCTCATAATTATTGCAACACCCTTTTCAATTTCTTCCATACACTATGGTTACACACAAAAATAAAAATATAAAAAAAGATAAGAATTTAGCTATAGATCTCAAAAAGATTTAACATCTAAATTTGAATTATGATTTAATAATATAATTATGTATTTTTTTATGTATATCTATCAAAATTTAAATCACTTAATGGGACAAATTAATCAATTTTTCAAAATTATTGATTTTTAATTTACAAAATAAATTAAAAAAAACATTGCTGATTTATTTATTTAATAACAAAATATTTCATATCTCTTTCTCCTAATCTCCTTACAAATTTTCAAAAAAAATATTAAAATTTGCATTCCTTTCTCTTCCCCAAAAAAATCAGATAATATTTTTTGTTAAAGTTGTAGATATCTACCTATATTTATATATATATTATAACATAACAAAAAAAACTAAAAAACTAAAAAAACAATCTTTAAAGTTTATTAATAAACTTTAAATCAATAAAACTCACATGTCTATCACATATCTAACTTACATCATAACTTACCTAAATAATAATAATAAAAACAAATAGAACCACAAGTAAATTAAATTTAAAAAAAAAATACCACAACTCCATCTTAAATAAATTGAAAAAAAAATACCGAATAGAAACCACAAAAAATAAAAATAAAAATAAAAAGATATATCTATCTATCTATCTATCTATACTATATATTAAGCAAAATGGATTTTTAACCCCAAGCCTTGTGAGCCAATCCCAATCTAAATTTTTGATTTTTTGATTTAAAAAAAAAAATCTAAGCATTTATTAACTTCTTCCAACGCCCAAGTCTTACCCTCATAATAACAGTTTAATGCATTAAGAAAAGATAAAAAAAAATTCTTTGAAATCCAACACATATAAATTCCTTGAAAAGTCTCAACACATATGATTATTATCCTCATAATAACACTTTAATGCATTAAGAACAAGCATAAAAAAAATTTCTTGAAAAGTCCAACACATCTATCTATATCTATACTATATATTAAGCAAAAGGAGATTTTAACCCCAAGGCCTGTGGAGCTTCAATATCCAATATGAATTTTCTAAATTTTTTATTAAAAAAAAAACTCAGCATTTATTGATTTGGCAAAATCCCCTGATCAGCATTTATTAACTTTTTTCAATCCACATGTCTTTCCACATCCTGCATTTATTGATTTGGTCAAAATCCCTGATTAGCATTTAAATCCCCTCATACAAATAATTATAGATACAATCTGTGTATAGTTACTTGCAGTATCATTCAACTTCTCTCATCACTATGTTAGTGATATAGATGTTAATTATTTTTATAAAAATCTTAAAAAACATAATTTATATATTAAAAAAAATCTAAAATAAATTAATTATCTATAATTGTCCCGTGCAAGCAAGGGTGATAAGCTAGTACTATATAGTTAAGCAAAGGAGGTTTTTAACTCCAAGTCAGATTGGAGTCCCACTAAGCCTTGGGGTTAAAAAACCCCCTTTTGCTTAATATATAGCTACTAGATAGGTATTATAATCTATATAAATCTATACTATTATATTAAGGCAAAATTGAGGTTTTTGAAATTTGTGAGAAAGATTAGGAGGAAGAGATTATGAAATATTTTTTGTATTAAATAAATAAATCAGTCAATAGTTTTTTTTAAATCTATTTGTAAATTAAAAATCAATAATTTTGAAAAATTGATTAATTTGTCTCATTAAGTGATTTAAAATTTGATAGATTAACATAAAAAAAATACATAATTATATTATTAAATCATAATTCAATTTAGATGTTATATCTTTTTGAGATTATAGCTAAATTCTATATTTTTTTATTATTTTTGTGTGTAACCATAGTGTATGTGAGAAATTAAAAAGGGTGTTGCAATAATTAGAGAGAAGTCAAAAGAGATTGTGGGTTGGGAGAAGTCAATAAATGCTAAGGTTTTTTTTTTTTTAAATCAAAAAATCAGGAAATTTAGATTGGGAGATTGGAACACCCACAATTCTTGGGGTTAAAAACCCCATTTTGCTTAATATATAGTATAAGATTATTATAGATTTATACTATCTATACTATATATTAACAAAGGGGGTTTTTAACCCAAGGCTTGTGGGAGCTCAATCTCCTAATCCTAATTTTCTAACTTTTTGATTTAAAAAAAAAAACTCAACATTTATTAACTTCTCCAACTTCTAAGTCTTACCTCATAATAACACTTAATGCATTAAGAACAAGTATAAAAAAATTCTTTGAAATCCAATACATATGAATTCCTTGAAAAGTCCCAACACATATGATTATTATTCCTCATAATAACACTTAATGCATTAAAAACAAGTATAAAAATTTCTTGAAAAGTCAACACATATGATTATTATTAAAATATTAAACTTTAATATAATATACAAAAAAGAAAGACATTTAATTCCTTTGAAAATTTCAACACAAATGATTATTAATCAAAATATTAAACTTTAAATATAATGTAAAAAAGGAAAAAAAGAAAGACATTTAGAATAAAAAAAAAAAACATTTAAAAATCACAATTCACATGTATAGATAATTATAAACACAATCCGTGCATAGCAGCGGTGATATGCTAGTTATCTATATATGTGAATTACAATTTTTAAATGTCTTTTTTTTTTTTTTAAAT